TGTGTGTTTCACACTACAGTACACGTGTATTTTTAGAAAATAGAACAACGATAAAATACGTTGTATTTAACGAACTTGGATATTAAGTTCTCAAGATAACTAATGTTTATAAGACATTTTTTACTGGAACAACGTTCTCAGTTTTACAAAATCTTAAAATTCTGGACGTCGTCACAGATTATAACGATTTAGACACCTCGCTGCTCGAAAAATAATATGATTGGCACAGGTAATAGCTGCAGAATTTACAGCTAGGTATAGCTACGTCATACCCATAGGTCAAGGATTTTGACCTCTTTTAAATGAGATGCCTCGTTGTACATCGGGAAATGAATGCTATAGTTACATCCTCGAAGAGCCGAGGAGCGTAATTAGTAGAATGCAACGTGATGTAAACATTCATTTATGGAATGCTGGTACTCCGGGACTTAAATCAGAAGTTATTCAAAAGTCTCCTAGGGAGGAGGATCCGAAAGTCCCAAATTTTGAGTTACAACTGTTATCCCTTCGTATTATATGGGTGAAACGATTTCTGTCAGAACATAACTCCAAATGGAAACATGTTTCAAAAGCATTTTCCCTCTATTTGAATTTCAGGATTAATCTATGAGCAGAGGTGAATTTGAGTTTTTAAATGTAAAAGCATCTGCTTATAAACGTTTCAAGGGGCTTTTTAATCCGCTAGATGCATTTCAAGTGAGAAAAGAATTCATTTGGTTCAAAAGAGAGGCGAAGGATACCAAAGGGACATTCAAACTCATAAATCGAAAATAAACTGACAACGCCATGGCTAAAAAAGAAAAAGACAAACAGAAAAACAACATAGAAAACAAAATTTTTAGCAACACAAACCCCACCAAAAACTGGGGGTGATCGCAGGTGGAAGGGTAAGCAGATCCTGCTCAACATGTGGCAGCAAACTTAACTGTATCTGCTGTATACTTTTTCTGAAGTTCGAGGGGATAGATGTGTTCAACATAGTCACCACATTTTGAATTATCTAGTAAGAGAACATCATCTATATAGCGGAAAGTGAAATTAAAGTTCAACCCTTTTATCAACATGAGTATTTTTTATAGATCATGGTACATGAAAGTTATAAGGTTCACCAATGCTATCGTAGATGATAATGGTGAATGTTTCTCTCATGACGCTATTAATCTAAAATATAACCTAAATGTTACTTTTGTAGATATCCATCGATCAAACGTGCTATACCACGTGACTGAAAAGAGTTGTTAATACAGCAACACATGTCACCTAACAGCAACTCATTTGGTTTTGTTTTTGAGCATGAGAACAAACAAATACTCTCTCAAATTATCTTCTTGCAAATATAGATTTTTAGATACTAATGAATGTGCCAGTTGTAAGGAGATAGAAACTATAGAGCATAAATCTTTTGAATGCACGGAAATAAAACTTTCTAATTGGTGATTTTTGGAGTAAGAATATTTTGAATAAAGACAGTGTAATTTTTTGTGTTTTGAATTCTGATAACTTTGTTTTGAATTAAAGTATTCTACAGGCAAAGTATTACATTGACTATCTAAGGATCACACAATTAACATACTGTTTATGTCTGTGCAAGCTTTCCTTAAATGCTTGAAAAGACATTTGGAAGTTTTAGAATATTTATATCTATCTAAATACAAACATGAGTCATTTGTCGATAGATGGGAAAATTATTCTTAAGATATTATCAAATTCTGTATATTCACTTCAAAGACTTGTTAATCCTGAATATTTCTTAGTCGCAATATAACCATTTCATATATTTTATTCACTTATGTCTTGTAAGAATGTATGTAAGCTCTGTAGTTTGAAAACCAAAACGATAAATAGAAAATAAAAAAAATATATATATTTTCAGAAGAGGCTATGGTTTTTGTGATGGCTGGACAATGTCCATCGTTTTGGCAACTGTTATGATCCAACCTTTCGGTTTTTTGTTGTTTAAGTTTTCCTTCAACTGTTAATTAACGTCAAGAATGCGTAAAGCTTTCACAAATGCTTTCTTCGAGTTTTAAGATATAATCATTGTGTGCTCTATAACTTCACTAGATTGATTAATTGTTGGTTGCTTAACGTCCAGTGGGAACTTCACTAGAGGAATTGAAGGAAGTACAATTGATCTTTACTAATTTTTATTGGACTGTCTGTGGTAACATCTCCTGTTGACCAATTAACAAAGAAAGCTGGGTCATGATATGATTATCATCTAGGAGACTACAAAGTCTCTCAAGTGAAGATCAGATTGGTTGTTTCCAAAAACATAACATAAAACTCATATTGTAAATTATGGATATGAGAGTCTATATTGGAAACAAAAAAGAAACAGTTCGAATGGTATCTTTTTGAAATCCAATTTTTTCATGTAAAATTTTAGGTCATTAAGTTTCCTAAAATATTTCATAAGACGACGTGTTTTTCACAATACAAACGGCATTCTGATTGAATCAAACTGTGCCCTCTGCTTGCTGACTTTTTCCATTAATATTATGAGGCAGTCTTAAGGGATCTTCTCAATAAAAATGAAAAAGAGTTTGCAGCAGCCTTTAACTTCACTTTTCGCTATAAAAATGATGTTCTTTCACTGAATGATTAATAGTTTGTTGACCATGTTGACCACATATATCCCAATGAATTGAAAATAATGTCTTAACTTACATCTAGAAATTGACATTGAAGGTCAGTTGAGAACTAGATATTCGACAAAAGATATGATTTCAACTTTCGATAGCAAACTTTCTATTTCTTTTTTAAACCGTTCCAGTAGCGCCTGTATATAAAATATATATTTCTCTGTTGATACCATATCCAAGGGCTTGTGTTTTTCATGATTCCCTAGATAGAGGGTTACTGCTTACGAGGAAGCTATGAATTATGACATCAGGGTATCCAAGCAGTAACGTCAAAATTGTCCCTTTAAGTTGTGAAGACGCTATCATAATCTGGGACATGTTCTACTTGTCGTCAGACCAATTCTCAATTTTCCTACATTTTATCACAGGATATTTACTAGCTTTATCAACATGACTGGTTCAAGATGTTATTTAGAAAGTGCCAACTTTCTGCGGCTCCCAATTTCATGCCTAGTTTTTTCTTTAAAATATTTTGTGTTGATTTTTAGTGTTGAATGTTGTACCTTTTTTATTTTTTCAATTTGTGCGGTGTCTCAACTGTAACAAATAAATGAGTCAAAAGGTGTGGCACAATAATCAGTCAGGATTCTACTTCGTCAAAATTATCTCCCCATTACGCCACTTAATTTTTATAATCGTAAAAATAGAAGCCATTGTAGTGATGACGCGCAGTCAATTTATCCTTGAAAACCGATCAATTTATCCACATAAAATCATTACTATCCTTATATACCACTTGTATTTAAAAGACAAATGCATCTACTAGCTATTGAGCATCATTTAATGTACTTTTATACTTGGGTCAACTAAAAACTATTGTCTGATCGGTTGTCAAGGGGATTCTCGAAAGTTCAAAAATAATTAAAAAATTCTAATTAAATCTTTCGTGGAAGGGCAGACTAAAAAATTAGAGAGGTTGAAGAATAATTACTCTTGTTCATACACACAAACATTTTTTTTTTTTAAGTTATGCATTTTTAAGATCCACTTGTAAAGTCTGTCGTCAAGTACTTTTAGTAAAAAAATTGCTATTCGAAACACCTACTCTGTTGTTATGACTCATTAGAAAGGTATTTCACTTGACCCATATATTTCATTATTTAACCTAAATATATAAAAATAATAGAATCTGAATCGAGTTGATGTATCAAATATTTTTCTTTTGTACTTTTTCAAGACAGAATAGTCAACTCAAACACGCCTGAGCATCAAAAGGTGAACTCGACTTTCTCTTTTCTATGAAACTATTCCCATTTGTGGGATTTTTTACCCAAAGAACTATCACCGGGGGCAGAGAAGTAAATTAATGCTTTAAAAAGATCAATCTATTATCTTTCTTTGGGTTTTTTGTCGGCGGAACTCTTGCTTATGCACAAAAAAGATCCACATATATTTGCACCAACTACAATCGATTGTGTTGTAAAAATTTGTCTATATCTTAAATGTTTACAAATATCTCGAAGCTCAATACCATAATTTAAGCAAAAACACATATATAAGATGCATAAAATCCTAAATTATGCACATTCGTTAAACTTTTAAAGCCCATAGAAACAGATGTGAACAATTCAAATTTACCAACGTGGCCTTTTTGACCTTCTCTAATAAAGAGTTCCATTTCTTTTGTTTAATTTCAACTGGATTGCCGCCTGAAGCAGGAAGTGGGGACAATGTGAATAGGTATTGTTGGTAGGTAGCTATTTTCAAAAGTCTCATGACATTTGCCAAAATTCAAATGGCAAGATCAATTGTATTGTATGATTTAATTAACAATGCTCCAAAGTATAACCACGTGAAATTTCGTGCAGTTATTTCACATCGTCCAACCAATTCATGATAGCAAACATAAAACCTTTAAAGAGATAACTTTAACTTTAATTAGGTTTGAAAATCGAATATCTTGATCAAATGTCTTTTGATGTTTTTATTATTTTGAAAAAATTCAAAAACTTATATATCTTTTTTATTACATGACATAATTTCATATAAGTAAGCACAGGTACGTGTATACATCTCACAATTAACCAATATTTTCGATGTAAATCGTACATCATGGGCTGTTTTAATGAGGACATACTTTAAGGAAACAATCCACAATGAACATTTTTATCATATCACGTAGTTCAACATATCATGTTCCTCAATAATAGACAAAAGTCAAAATCATTTGTAAAGAATAAATTAGTGAATAAAAAGGTTACCATACAATCTTTTATATTACTTGATTATGAAGATATAATATAAAAACAAATATTGCCTAAAAAAGATATTATAAAATCAAACAATGTGTCATTCAATCCCGAGAACTACAAAACGATTTTATAATAAATGAAATATGCATTGTATTTACTTCAGGTGGACACCATAAACAACTTGTAAAAGAAAAAGAATTTCGCAAATACTTTGCCAATTCTTATGCTTATGGTATACATGGTGAAAAATGGCCTACTAAAACAATTCTACTGTACAGATACAGCTCAAATGCAACAACCAAGTATCAGGACATTCCTGAGGACACCTGGAAAAGGTTAGACAATGAACCAAAGATAAACGATGTCGACAACGGAAGACATGCTGAACTAATTATGATAGAAGATCTCAGGAAAATTCAAGATTACCTTTACATTCAGCCAATTGACTATGAAGGACGTTATAATGCTATACTCAGCTTAGAAGTCATTCTAAGCTACTCACCATGTGCAGATTGTTCGAAAAGATTATGTTTGGAAAAGGAAGAAATGGATAAAAGAGTAAAACAAAGTAAAAAAAAATACTTTAATTCTGTACAAGAGAATTTGTCTGCTGTAAGCCCGACAACAGAGGTAGAAGAAGAAGAAACAATTAAGATGAAAATAACTTTTTCAAACTTCTATATGCATAATGAGATTAGTAACAAGGAAGGTTTGAAAAATCTCTTGAAAAGTGATATAAAGCTTGATATCTTTACAGATGATAACTGGAAATATTTCTTTAACGCTGCTGGGTTAGTTACTAAGAGACAAATAAGAGAAAAAGCGGACAAGAAAATTCTACAAGACCTTTATAAAGAATTAGTTGATCGAACAGCGACTCATAACTGGGAAGAACTTTACCAGATCTAATAGATTTCAGTGAAATTGAATTAAGAGTAACTTTTGTGGTATTTTTATTTGGGTATTATAATGACTACTATAGACGTAAAACAAATTAATATGTCAGCTACTATAATATATATCAAATTATATATCAAAACAAAACTCCTAAAATAATCTTTTTTACTAATAAATCTATCAATTTATATTTGTCTTGCTTGCTTTGAAGCAAATCCAAAACATATTGGAGCTGCTCATTCACATAAAAATTTCTAAACCTGACACTTGATTTACCGATAATGCTGAAAGTAGGATAAGAGTCATAAAACTATCCATTTTAAATAATCCATTAAAATTAGTTAAATGTCAGATGAACCCTGGAAATGTGCAATGATTTTTACAACAAATATAGATCATTGACAACTTTTACTAACTGAGAGTCTAATGTAATAGAAAAACTTAATTTTGATCAATGAACCATAAAAACACAGTTTAAGGCAAGGGATTGCACATACAATCTTTAAAACTATTTGTAGTCGACCCATCACTCTAGACTCTGTTGATGCAATTGAAAATAAAGTAGATCATGTATCAATTCAGGAATCAGGACACAACATAACAAAACCTACTGACAAAAAAAAAAAAAAAAGTGCTTTTAGTGCTGTTCTTCATATCAAAGTCATTGTCTGAGGCTCAACACGAAGCAAACGTTCACAACTCACTTCAAAATGCGGTTCTAAAAAGAACTCTTTTTTCTTAATTTGCCAGAAGACCTTTTATACATTATTTCTTTGTGGAAATTGGAGACAGATGTGATACATGCACCCGAGAAGAAAATGAAAAAGTGAAAAGTTCATGCATGATGGAGGACTCATTGAAGTAAAAAGCCAAAAACAACGCAAAATTGAAATAGTTCACTTGTCTCTTTAGGTCAGGTCACAGAGCTTAAGAACTGGAATTTCAACTTGAGGCCAAGTGAGCTTAAAAATGGAATTTCATATTTATGCAATTGGCTTGAAAGTAGTCTTTCAGACGCTTTGTTTTACAGTAATATTACTTATGAGGCAAATAAGTTTAAAAATTGTCCTTCAAATCATTTTGTTTTACTTAGCAGACTAACAGATAAAGGTTATGATTAAACTATTTTATTTCCTCTGATAAATTTATAAATCATAACAATTTCATTATTTCATTACTTATACATGAATATGTAAATTAAAACAAAACCAACTGTTTATATTTTTTTCTGCTATAAAATTCTGAATAATTAACTTATGATGGCAAAGGGTGGTTTAGGATGGACCACTTTTTCCCCTGGTGGTCCCTGAAGGAAATGTGCTGGTCCTCGCTATTATTTCTATTGCAAAATACCTAAATACCTAAACTGTGTTGGTCCTTTCCAAAATTTTGGTGGTCAGAACCTTCGAACCGCCATTTTTCAAGAAGTCTGGAAATATTCCAATCACTCAGTACCACCTTGGGTATCTATGAGCTCGCCAATTATGTTTCTGGCTCGCTTTTGGTGAGTTGGCTAGCACAGGTTTCACACACTGTATTTCTGAACGTTTTTAGTCGTAAACTTTTGTATGAACCCTTTGCTGTTCAACTGAACAGATGAACAAGATCAAAAGGACTATATGGATTTAATAATTCGTCAAATGAAAATATCAAAACAAAGACGTTGAAGATAAAACAGAAAATGCAAAGCAATATGTTATAGGGCTAAGTCTTATTAATACTTGCTGATCATTTTATTCTATAAGCCACTTTCGTCCGTATAAACCAGGGAATTACTTTTCATTATGTTGGTCTTATTCAAAACTGACACCTACACTTATTTGTTGATAGGACAGAAGAACAGACATCATCTTATGTGATGGATTTTGTTCTTTTGGACCAGGGAATCCACTGAACTTCAAAATTCTTAAGACAAAAGTGTTGGATTCACATTTCTTACTGCATGTGGTTTCGGAGCTAACGAAATTAACGGCGAAATCATAAAAAACATCCTTAGGTTCGGGGTGTAGCCACGGCTGCCTGTAGGGCATAATATATAAGTTATGCTCTTCATCAATGTTAATTAGTAATTTTATGCCGAAAATTCCTATTTACCAGAAAACTTTTAGGTCAAAGTTGATTCAAAAATGCATGCTTGTTTTCGTGACGGCGATTCCAACGGATAAATATGATCTGAAGGTTGACTCGATTCATTGGATAATTCAAATTGACTAACCATCAAATCAGCTTATTTTCTAATCAATGGGCACTTAAATGCATATCAATATATTGTTTTCCTATGCATCATCGCCTTTAATGTTTGGTAAATATTTCAATTGGAGTTGATATTCTATTACATTAATCAAGGATTTGTAGAGTCACTCTGAGACTACTATAACATATGTGTTATAGTAGTCTCAGAGTCACTATACAAATTCTTGTATTAATTAATAAGGTTATTTTGGAAGAATGCATTGACATGTTAACGTGACCTACTGCAGATAAGAGGTTAAGCCATTTATAATTAATCTACATGTCACTTACTAATGTCAAGACCTGGGATCAATAGATATATTTTAGTCCCAGTCAAGACCTTCTCAAGTTCAAATCGCATTGGACGCAAAAAATGTCCTTTTCTGAAATATAAAAATAAGGAAATGCACAGTGGTATGATTGCCAATGAGATAACGATCCACCAAGGTTCAAATGAGGTGGATGTAAGCAGTTATAAGCAACCGAACGGCTTTTAACAATGAGAAAACCCAATAGCGTATAGTCGGCTATAAAGGACCCCGACGTGAAAAAATATGAAACAATTCAATTGAGAAAACTAACGGCCTATTATTTATAACAAAACACTTTAGGAAAAAAGAAATATGACAGAAATGAACCAACCACTGAACAACAGCCTCCTGATGTACGGGACAGGCACATAAACATGTGACGGGGTTAATAGATATAAGAAGATGTGGTATGAGTGCCAATGAGACAACTCTCCATCCAAGTCAAAATTTATAAAAGTAAACCATTATAGGTCAAAGTACGATCTTCAACACGGAGCCTTGGCTCACACCGAACAGCAACCTATAAAGGGCCCCAAAAATTACTAGTGTAAAACCATTCAAACGGGACTACCAACGGTCTAATCTGTATAAAAAACGAGAAACGAGAAAACATGTTAGAAGGCGCAAACTCTCCCCTAACCTGCGACAGTGGTGTAGCAGTACAACATAAGAATTAACAAACTATAAGCATGTATATATTCTATCATTATTCTGGGGGAAATGTAACGTCATTTTGCTCTGTTCTATATTTAAGGCCAAATGCTGACATTATTTCTCAGAGATGAATGCTATATAAAGTGATAAAGTGTGGTTAGCGCTGGTCGGCTGATCCCACTACGTAAGTGATATTTTGCTTATTTACGAACTATTAGCGAACAAAATTACTACATATTTCACATGGATGTGCTTAAAACATCAAAACATCTAGCTTTTTCGGGGAATGGTTGGATTTTCTTGACTATACAATGGGAATATCCAATGATATAATCTTAACGGGAGACTTAAATTTCCACCTAGACGATAAATTCGACTGTGACGCCCGAAAATTCACTGAAACGTTATCTGATCGTGGTCTCGTGCAACATGTTGTTGGTGCTACTCATGTCCGTGGACACACGCTTGATGTCATTATAACTAGAGAAGATAGCTCAATTGTAATCGGCATTCCATCTATTGATGAATAACATCTTTGTAATGATAAAGGCGTTCCATCACTCGACCATTTCGCGGTTCACTGTAGTCTGAACGTTAACAAACCACCTAAAAAACTGGAGTCCATGAAATGCCGTTAGCTCGAAGAAATTGTTATTGACGATTTTAACACCGACATCAATTGTTCGAATTTCATGTCAAGTCAGACAGCATCGCTTGACGAATTAGTTTCAACATATGACTCAGTGCTCAGTTCTATCATTAAGAAACATGCTCCAATTCAATCCAAAACTATAAAATTGCGCCCAAATACAGAATGGCACTCATCCGAGCTCCGTACCGCTAAGACAGAACGCCGTAAAGCTGAGCGTTAAATGCGGGAGACAAACCTTGAGGTTCATAAACAGTTGTATAAAGAGCAATGTATCAAAACACACAAGCTGCTTTTGAAGTGTAAGACTGACTACTATTCAGATAAAATTTTGGAAATAGGGTGTGATCAAAATAATCTGTTCACTTTAACAAACAAGCTAATGGGTAATACGAAGACCGTAGTTTTGCCATCACGTGAGTGCGATAAAGATATATCGAATAGGTTCGGCGACTTCTTCCTCAATAAGATTGAAACCATCATGAGATATCTATCAAGTGAAGATGATTCCTCTCTAAATGGAAATGACGCCTTCTGTGCAGATGTGATGTTCGACGGTCAGGCACTTACTGTCTTAGCATCTGCGTCCGTGGATGAAGTTCGGAAGATCATTTCAAAGGCTCCGTCGAACACGACCCGCTGCCAACTTCGTTATTAAAACCGTGTTTGAACAGCTTAGCATCAATCATAACGAAAATAGTAAACAAGTCATTACACGAGTCGTATGTTCCAAAATAATTTAAGGAAGCAGTTGTACGACCCTTACTAAAGAAATCGGGACTAGACAAAGAAGTTTTAAAGAACTATCGTCCAGTTTCTAATCTTCCATTTATATCGAAGGTCCTTGAAAAGGTACTAGAATGTCGATTAGAGAACCATCTTCAGTCGAACGATCTTTTTGATAGTGTTCAATCGGCTAACCGTGCTTACCATTCCACCGAGACGGCATTGCTACGGGTTCATCACGACATAGCTGTTGCACTTGATAATAACTGTTGTGTAGTTTTATTAATGTTAGATCTTTCGGTAGCGTTTAACGTCCTCGACCATTCCATTTTACGACAGCGACTTCAATACTCTTTCGGAATATCTGGAGACGCGCTAAATTGGTTGTTATCATATCTTACTGATAGAACTCAACGTATCGCAATCGGCTCTGTTCAGTCGGACGATATCAATCTGAAGTATGGTGTTCCGCAGGGATCCGGCCTCGGACCGAAACTTTACTGCATTTTCTCGAAACCCATAGGTGAAATATGTCATAATATGTGTTACCACTGCTATGCGGATTATACTCAGGTGTATCTCATAATTAAACCGCTTGACCATTGGAACAATATATCT